CCTGTATATACCGACAAAACTGCTTGACTCTGAGTGTAACAAAGATCCTTACCGAACAGGCTGATTTCAGTTTGACTACAATGATCCGGCATCTGAGCCGGTAATCGAAGCACCACCTCGCGCAAGAAGATCGGCAAAGGGCGCCAGCTCACAGTTGTGCTTCGACGTAAGTTCTTATCTTTTTGAATCGATGGAGTTTTTCGACTTTTTACAAAGCTATGGAAACAATACTTCAAAAAATAAATTCAGACAACAAAATCAAGCTTTTTACCTCCATGTATTTTGAAGTCAATGCAACGTGTTGCTAGATTGACTTTAACGTGCTCTTCGTAAATCATTACAAAGTAGCTTTACCTTTTTATCTATCGTCACACCATTAAATGACGGCTGTTGAGATCGCGAGTTTGGGCCGTTCATATGAAGCACTCGCTCAAAGTATATCGTTTCTAGGTCGCTGAATACGCAAAACGGGAGTACTATAGCATGTGCAATTTCTATGCTGTAAAGCCTAGCACAGAAGTAGCAGCGTAAGTTCCTTTCTTTTTTAATATTTGACAATTTTTCCTTTCCAAAAAAACCTCTTCTACACATAAATAGTGTTTCTTGCAGATTTTTCCTTGTGAATGAACTGGATGAGAAACGTTTGGTCGCAATTGGTTCATCGCGACCAGGAGTTGTAGAGGGACAAGTGGTGGGAAGCGCTCGTGGAACTGCGATCATTCACTTCGATCCCATCGTTATTGCTAGGCGATCTTTGTTGAGGTGATCGTAATGCCTTCCGTTATTTAGTGAATTGTTTTTGATGTGTTCCATTACAGATATCTTATCAATGAAGTAGGAAAAGTTGGAGATCCGAAATGCATCTTTGTTCGCGGTGAGGATGGTATGCTGCGTTTGAATGAGGGTTTAAGACTGGTGCTCTACGCAACTTATGCACCGAATTGCTCATACAGCTGTAAGGAAGCATCGTTGAAGAAGTTGAGTGTGCTAGGGTAAGTCATCCATATCACTTGTTTTCCTTTGCTACGGCAAAGTACGCCTGCATTTCCCTTGAATGTAAAATTCATGCAGGCTCAATGGCACTGCTAGGAGAGTTTTATAGGCCAACATGTCAGTGGTGCGTGGCTCTTTTTTATACACTTTTGAT